GTGAAGCAGGAGAATTTGCAACTTTTTCGGGTTTTCGCAAACACTTAAAAAGAGTTCATGAAGGAAGTAAAGGAAGTAAATGTGTTGAAGATGATGCTGTTGTTCATAATGCAGTTGGGCTACCAAGTAATACTGATATGGCTACATGTTCAAAGGACAGTTCTTTGCCAGTTCCCAGCAAAAACGCTACCGATTTGTGTGCATCAGCAATAGCACAATTGCAAGCTGCAGGTGTTAGTCAGACTACTGTTGATACTTTTGTTATGTCTATGGAGGAAGTAGTTCAAGACATCCAGGATCAAGTAAATGAGACAGCTATAAATTGCTTTTCTTATTTTCAGAAAACACGGACATTAAAAGTTCAATTGAGCAGTCATTCCATGAAATTGAAAACCCTTTCACCATGCTTAATTCCATATCTAAACGAAAATCATATTTTACCAAAAAATGGGGAATTGTCCAGCCTGTGGAGAAAGTAATTGGGGTCAGATTTGACAACAGAAAAAACAGGACTACTGGAACTTATGAGCACCCAAACACTACATGTAGATTCAAGTCAGGTTTACCTAATAAAAACGGTATTTACTCTGATATTGAAGATGGACTGTACATAAAAAGTAATCCCCAGTTTTCGACTGAAAAAAATGCACTTCAGATTCAATTGTATTATGATGAATTCGAGACTGCCAATCCTTTGGGGTCAAAAAAGGGATTCACAAATTAGGCGGTATATATTTTACTTTGAGAAATTTCCCACCACAATTTAATTAATCTCTAACAAACATACATTTATGTGCACTTTTCCTTGCCCAAGACATCAAAACATATGGATTTGACGCAATATTGAAACCTATTGTAAATGACATAAAAGTCCTTGAAAACAAGGGTATGCAAGGACCTGCCGGATTTGTGCGTGGAAGCATTGTCCAAGTAACGGGAGATCTTCTTGGTTTACATGGCCTTTTTGGATTTGTTGAATCTTTTAGAGCTCGGAATAACTGTAGGTTTTGTCTTGCTGAAAGGGAAGATTATCAAACTGTGTTCTGTGAAGATGAGCCAAATGTAACTTTCCGCACCAAAGAAACACACTTACGACACTGTGAAGCTCTACAATCAGACCCAACACTACATAAAGTTTGTGGTGTGAAACGTACATGTTTGTTAAACACTCTGCAGTACTTTAATATATCAGACAACTTTTCTGTAGACATAATGCATGATATTTTAGAGGGGGTTGCTCAGTTTGAATTAAAACTTGTTTTAAAATATGTTCAAGCTAATTTTTTGACAGCGAAAGAGTTGGATGGCAGATTAAATTAATTTAATTATGGGTACATGGAGAGGAGAAATCGGCCTCCTTCTGTAAAACTGGATGACGAGAGCAATGATTTGGGCATAAATGCAATACAGTGTTGGTGTCTACTCCGAAATGTACCGCTAATATATGGTGACATTGTGCCCCAAGACGATAAATACTGGCAATTACTACTACTTTTACTACAAATAGTGAACATTGTATTTTCTACCATTTTAACTGAAGGACTTACTGTTTATTTGAAACACTTAATTACTGAGCATCACAGGCTGTTCAAGTGCTTATTTCCAGGAAAGAATCTGCTGCCTAAACATCATTTAATGTGTCACTACCCTCGGTGTATACAAAATATTGGGCCTATTGTTCACATGTGGTCAATGCGATACGAGTCCAAACACAATTTCTTCAAGACTCAACCAAAATGTTTCAAGAACATAACTGGGTTGGGGTTAAACAAATATTCTAGGTTTAATGCAAGTTCAGCTCAATTGACAACATTTGTGGAATATAGTTCATTACCATTTACAAAGAAATAAAAAACTACAATGGATGTGCATAGTCACACATTTCTGAGCTTTAAGGGCAGAAATGTAATTATAATACAATTATATAATTTTTCCAAAGGCCTTACATGAATTCTTCTGTTAAAACACGTTAATTGAGCTGTAAAGTTGTTTAAAACATTTTTATTGTGTTTGTATTAAAGAATGAGGGACACGCCAAAATTTATTTTTGTGGGAAATAATTCCACAAATGCTGTCAACTTAACTTATATCAAATTTTGAATATTCTTTCTGAAGTAAATGATTTACACAAGTGTTTGTTGTTTATGATGTTTTTGCAGATTGAACAGGACTTGTGGCCAACTACATTCATGCTCAAAGTTATTCAGCAAAGCAAAAGTCTTAACTCCTCCCAAGCCCTTCAGGACCTGATTGACTGTGCTGAAATGACTGTGAAGGAGAATGAAATGGGGGATGCAGGTTAGACTGTCAGAGTTCAGAATACGATTGTTTAGACTTCTCCATGTATTTTTTTTTTTCTGATGTTGCCATTTCTGTTTTTTTTTCTTTTTCCCCAGGATGGAACAGTGACATTGCTTCTATTCTTCTTTTACTTCATTTGATCCCACCTTCACCACAAGGCAGAAAGAGACCTGGAAAAATGTCCGCATCTCAAGCAGAAAAACACCTCATCATCTTCAAAAAGGTAAATTTGGTCTTTACTGTCATTACCTGTAGTCTGCCTAAAAGCAATGTCTGTTGGGCTAATTATATTGTGAAAAACTAATGTAGAGAGCGTCAATTGGAGAGCTGGTTTTAATTTTTCATTTATTTCATCTTTAGTCCGGGACTAACATACAAGAGCACCTGGACTCCATTGAAGAAAGCACACAGTCATACCTGCTTGCCATGGGTCCAAAGAAGAACAGCATTCATGGATACTACATCATTCTCGACAAGAAAGCCATACCGTGCAAATCAGTGAGTGGTCTCAGTGCCTTTGATGAACTTTTCAAAGCGCACTTTGTGTTTGGTGCATCTTACAGCAAAGTCCTGCACAACATGTGCACCTTTGTACAAACAACAGTTTTTCAGATTGACATTGGCAAGGTTAAAGAGTGTCCAAGAGTTGCCGAACTCAGAGCTAGATTCCTGCGTTAGATTTGATTGCTGGAAAAAATGATTTGTTTTGTTTGTTTTTGTTGTCTGGAAAACACAAATATTCTTGTTCGACATCTAAAGTGAATTCATGGGTTCTTGCCTGGCAAATCACTTTGACTAAAATGTGGTGAAGCAGGTTGCTGTTTAGAATTTGCAACTTTTTCAGGTTTTCGCAAACACTTAAAAAGAGTTCATGAAGGAAGTCAAGTTTTGTTCTGTGTTGAAGATGATGCTGTTGTTCATAATGCAGTTGGGCTACCAAGTAATACTGATATGGCTACATGTTCAAAGGACAGTTCTTTGCCAGTTCCCAGCAAAAACGCTACCGATTTGTGTGCATCAGCAATAGCACAATTGCAAGCTGCAGGTGTTAGTCAGACTACTGTTGATACTTTTGTTATGTCTATGGAGGAAGTAGTTCAAGACATCCAGGATCAAGTAAATGAGACAGCTATAAATTGCTTTTCTTATTTTCAGAAAACACGGACATTAAAAGTTCAATTGAGCAGTCATTCCATGAAATTGAAAACCCTTTCACCATGCTTAATTCCATATCTAAACGAAAATCATATTTTACCAAAAAATGGGGAATTGTCCAGCCTGTGGAGAAAGTAATTGGGGTCAGATTTGACAACAGAAAAAACAGGACTACTGGAACTTATGAGCACCCAAACACTACATGTAGATTCAAGTCAGGTTTACCTAATAAAAACGGTATTTACTCTGATATTGAAGATGGACTGTACATAAAAAGTAATCCCCAGTTTTCGACTGAAAAAAATGCACTTCAGATTCAATTGTATTATGATGAATTCGAGACTGCCAATCCTTTGGGGTCAAAAAAGGGATTCACAAATTAGGCGGTATATATTTTACTTTGAGAAATTTCCCACCACAATTTAATTAATCTCTAACAAACATACATTTATGTGCACTTTTCCTTGCCCAAGACATCAAAACATATGGATTTGACGCAATATTGAAACCTATTGTAAATGACATAAAAGTCCTTGAAAACAAGGGTATGCAAGGACCTGCCGGATTTGTGCGTGGAAGCATTGTCCAAGTAACGGGAGATCTTCTTGGTTTACATGGCCTTTTTGGATTTGTTGAATCTTTTAGAGCTCGGAATAACTGTAGGTTTTGTCTTGCTGAAAGGGAAGATTATCAAACTGTGTTCTGTGAAGATGAGCCAAATGTAACTTTCCGCACCAAAGAAACACACTTACGACACTGTGAAGCTCTACAATCAGACCCAACACTACATAAAGTTTGTGGTGTGAAACGTACATGTTTGTTAAACACTCTGCAGTACTTTAATATATCAGACAACTTTTCTGTAGACATAATGCATGATATTTTAGAGGGGGTTGCTCAGTTTGAATTAAAACTTGTTTTAAAATATGTTCAAGCTAATTTTTTGACAGCGAAAGAGTTGGATGGCAGATTAAATTAATTTAATTATGGGTACATGGAGAGGAGAAATCGGCCTCCTTCTGTAAAACTGGATGATGACGAGAGCAATGATTTGGGCATAAATGCAATACAGTGTTGGTGTGTACTCCGAAATGTGCCGCTAATATTTGGTGACATTGTTCCCCAAGACGATAAATACTGGCAATTACTACTACTTTTACTACAAATAGTGAACATTGTATTTTCTCCCATTTTAACTGAAGGACTTACTGTTTATTTGAAACACTTAATTACTGAGCATCACAGGCTGTTCAAGTGCTTATTTCCAGGAAAGAATCTGCTGCCTAAACATCATTTAATGTGTCACTACCCTCGGTGTATACAAAATATTGGGCCTATTGTTCACATGTGGTCAATGCGATACGAGTCCAAACACAATTTCTTCAAGACTCAACCAAAATGTTTCAAGAACATAACTAAGATGCTTGCCAAAAAACATCAGAATTTCATGGAATATAACTGGGAAGCCTTTAACCATGACAGAATTGTACTTGGACCAGGAAAGAATGTCTGTGTCAGTGACTTGAATGAAAGTGTTCAGATTGCATCTAAGTTGAACATTCCTCCAGAAACAAATGTTCTCTCAGTGAAATGGTTGAAGTATAATGGAACTGAATATCGTTCTACCTTAATTATTTGTGGTCAGGTAGACCTTGATTTGCCAGTGTTTTATAAAATCAAGAATATTATTGTCAGAAATGAATGCGTGTTACTGGTTACATCGCAGCTCAAAACTGTTTGTTTGGATGAACATCTTTTTGCCTACAGAGTTGATCACAGACCCAGCGCATCTCTGAAAGTGTTTACTGTCAATGAACTCTCTTATTACAAACCTTTTGATGTGCAGATGTCCTATGGGTCTGATCATTTATTTTGTTTTGTTGTACCCTACTGTAATCTTATTCAAATTTAGCTGTCACTTGTTCATGTCTCTGTAAAGTTAATGAGTTTGTTTGATCCATTTTGTATTTCTGTGCAACCCCTCATGAATTTGACTGAACTGTTGACTGTTTTAAAGTAGCCACTTTGCCCAGTTTTTAAATGAAAATGAGTTATTATATCTGTCTGAAGACTCTTGATTTTAGATTTGATAATGTACATTGACACTATAGAACAATGTAAAAATAAATTTTGCACTAAAAAGAATACTTTCTTGATAACACTTTTAGAGTAATCCATAGGAATAACAACGACACCCAAAAGGTGTTAAATGACCCCTAGTGTAAAATGTTAATGTGTTAAATGACCCCAGTGTAAAACTTTGATAACAATAGTAAGTGTAACAATCTACACTCTCAGTGTCATTTTTCAGCACTATAAGGTGCCATTTTAACACTGTAAATTCAACACTACAAACAGTGTACTTTTAACTCTGGACAGATTGGGACCATATATGATCTTTAGTAGTGTTAAAATTAACACTTTAAGTGTTAAATTGACACTGCTGATTTTACTGTACAGTATGGAGTACCTCAAGGCTCAGCACTAGGGCCGTTACTTTTCACGCTTTACATGTTACCCTTGGGAGATCATCAGGAAACATGGTGTTAGCTTTCACTGTTATGCTGATGATACTCAGCTCTATATTTCTTCGCGGCCCGGCAAAACATACAAATTTGAAAAGCTAACGGAATGCATAGTCGATATAAAAAACTGGATGACAAGTACTTTCTTACTGCTAAATTCTGAAAAAACAGAGGTGTTAATTATAGGATATACATTTTACGTTCTGCTTGTTTTATGTAGATTTCAAGTATTTTAGTTCATACAATATACATATTCATAATACATATTTCAATCCCCTGCTGAAAAAAAAAATTGAAACCATCACATAATTTGTAATGGTTTTACTGGTTATAATGAAAATTGTATTGGTTTTAATGGAAACTGTAATGGTGCCTGTTGGTCTTTTCTGGTAATTGGTTACCTTCTGTTGGTGGCTTTTGTTGAAACCACTAAATTCTAATGTAATAGGCCAGGGGTGGCTAACTCTGGTCCTGGAGAGCCGCAGCCCTGCAGAGTTCAGCTCCAACCCTAATAAAAACTCACCTGCCTGTAGCTTCCTAGTAACCCTTCAGACCTTGATTAGCTTGTTCAGGTGTGTTTGATTAGGCTTGAAGCAAAACTCTGCAGGGCTGCGGCTCTCCAAGACTGACGTTCGCCACCCCTGTAATAGGCTATGTCCCAAAACACACTTCAGGAAACCATTACTTAATTGATGGTTTGTAGTATTTGTAATGGTATTTGTAGTGGAAATCATTCAAATTTCTGTGATGGTTTCTATTGTTTTTGTCAGCAGGGTCACCATGTGTTTTGTGATGTTATTTGCCATAAATGCGATAGGATTGCTGTAATATTGTGAGATAGTAGCGACTGCTTGTAGTTGTGGTGGGTCTATTTGGGAGAAAATCCAGGGCTGTTTTTTACTCCCAGTCCGTCCCTGAATATGGGTGATGTATTCTGCTTTCGCTGCATTTTTGTGGCTGCCAAGTTTCAGCTATAGAAGCACGCAACATCCGGTATGTGACGCTTGCTCGCTCTCATTGGCTATCGCGGGTATCACGTCAGAGGCAGCCTGATCAAGAGTCGGGAATATCCAACATGTTTGATATTTACGATTTGAGTTCGGGGACGCTCCGTCTCGATCGGGAGCAGTTAAATAATCGTAATGACACCACACAATAGAGGATTTTTTGGACAGAAAATCATTTGCGACGAGCCGCGAATCGGGCCACCCCCCCCCACATTGTTTAGGGGTGCAAATCAGCCTTAAAATCTTGTAGTGTGTGGCCAGTCTAATAGTCATAAGTAGCTCTGTGTGAGATTTCTGCAGTTGTTAACTGTTCAAACTGTTCAATCACTCTGAAAAAAAATCTATTTTGATCTGACGTTGGGTTAACTGGAATTTTTGTACCTTGTGTACCTTGCATTTCCTTCAAAACAAAAGTTTACTCTTCTGTCCCATCTGGGCTGCCATTTTTACACTTTCTTATTAAATCTTTGCTGGGGTGCCAGACAGGTATAAACACTGTCAAAATCTTCAACATTAAGTTTGTTTGCCTTCTAAAAGTCATTATTTAATCAGGTCAAGTCATAATGAAAGTGAACAAAGGATACATGCACACATTACTTCATTTTTTGTCACTTAACATGCATCCTTAAAATTTGCAAGAGTAAACATCAAGAAAACCAAAATGCAAACTTGCAGTTTCTTCACAGTGTATTTACAACATTTGTGTGTAATTCCAGCACACCACCAACTCACAGTTCATTGAGAGCATTGTCCAACACAAAAACATCAACATCAGCATCATCATTACACTTAAGACATTCCACATCAACACTATTTAAATAAACCAAGTCTTTAAAGAGAAGGAAGGTAAAGAGTCAACGTCAGGGTTCCTTAAAGAACTAGACTTTGTATTTGTTACTCATGCAACACTGCATCCCCATTCATTAAGAATCCAATCAGCTCAGTCTTTTACCGATTCCACAGTATCTCAGAAAGCTGTCATTACTCACAT